CATACGTTTCTGTTCAGAATGAGATTAAATAAAAGTTTCCAAGAAATTGATTCACCCTGGCAACAGTGCAGCAGTCAACTATCTGAAGAGTAACAGCTGGCTCTTTTGTGGAAGATTACTTTTCATAATTTATCTCTTATGATCAACATGGGAAAAAAATCCTGGTGCAATTTACTGTGTCCTGTAAATTATTTCACTAGATTTTATCACTGTTCTGTTCAATTCATATTTTTCCACTGCAGTTTTATTATTACTGCTTTTGGGAACTGGTGTTTTTGGTGGTTTCTTTCCTGTGAAAGAGCTGGCATATGTGGGACCTGTTAGTGACATTTTCATAAGTGTAAACCTGGGGTTCTCAGATTTCATTGTAACCCCCTTCTGACAATGAAACTTACTACATGACCCTAGGGCTGTGTCTAGACTGGCAAGTTTTTCCGCAAAATCATCTGCTTTTGCGGAAAAACTTGCCTGCTGTCTACACTGGCTGCTTGAATTTCCGGAAAAGCACTGACGATCTCATGTAAGACCATCAGAGCTTTTCTGGAAATACTATGCAACTCCCATTTGGGCAAAAGTCTTTTTCCGAAAGACTTTTGCGCAGAAGGGCCAATGTAAACAGCACAGTACTGTTTTCCGCAAAAAAACCCCGATCGCGAAAATGGCGATCGGGGCTTTTTTGCAGAAAACCGCGTCTAGATTGGCCATGGACGCTTTTCTGCAAAAAGTGCTTTTGCGGAAAAGCATCCTGCCAATCTAGACGTGCTTTTCCGAAAATGCTTTTAACGGAAAACTTTTCCGTTAAAAGCATTTCCGGAAAATCATGCCAGTGTAGATGTCTGCAAAGAGTGGGGACTAAGGCATATCCTTGGGTATATCCCTTCCTGGGAAGTAGTTGTTAAAATATTCCTTGTTAAACTTTCTTTCTTTTCCTTAGAATTAGGGTGACCATCCATCCCATTTTTAACATGTCAGTCCCATATTTAAGCCCTCTTGAAGCTGTCTCAACTTTTTTTTAAATAACATGCTAATTGTCTTATGTTTTCAGTTCTGGTTCTCCCCCTGCTGGTCGATTGTCTTCAACGCAGCCACAGCATTCTCCTGTTTGTGTCTGGCAGGTGAATGCAGCAGGCGGTGGCCAGCAGGTGACGATCTCAGACAGGGAACAGAGGCATTAAGACAGGAAGCCAGTAGAGTGAGGCAGTCTGTGTGTGATAAAAGAGTAAGGGTGTGCGGGTGTGTCAGGGCTGTTCCCCACTCTGACTGTTCCTCACTCTGCACTCTGGCATGCCAAGTGCAGAAGGTGAGGGCCTGCAAGAGTGCTTCAAAACCTTGTCTTTACACTGGCACTGGTTACAAAAAATTCCCCCCCAGAATCATAATGCACCGATTCTAGAGAAAGGCTGCCACCATCAAGTGCTTTTTATCCCTAAAAACCAGGAGTGAACACTTGAAACCACTCTTGCCCCAACAGAGCTTGAAAAAAGAACATAGAAAAACAAGCTGTAGTCTCTGTTATCTGACCTCTCAGTCGTAGGCATGCGGATACACACAAACAGACCTTCTAGGACACAAGAATCAAATAATTACTTTAAAAGAGTGATTTTTATTACAAAACAAAAGATAAACTTGATAAAACATGCTGGGTTGCTAGATGTTGCAGAACAACTAAAGAAAACTTATTAAAACTAGAGAAAAAGTCTCTTAGCACAATCCAAGGTAGTAAAAGGGGAGGGGAGGTGTATTTATTCATACAGAGCAGTTCAAACCCACCTACAAAATGAAGAAAGATTACCTTGAATGTGACTAGATTCACTTTTCTTTCCCTTTTACTTACTTCCAATCTCCTCTTTGTTCAGTCCACTCCCATGCTCCAAGTTCCTTAGATACATGTTAGTCCTGCCTGGGTTTAAGTCATTCTGTCTCTCTCAACTCCTGGCTTCTTTCTCCTCCACAAAGAAAGCAGGCTTCTCTCTCCTCCATCCAATTTAAATTTCAACCCTCTATCTCCACTGGCTCTCCTGGCTCCCTGGCCAACATCTTTGCTAGCTATCTGAGTTTAACCCCTTAGTTACCGGTTGCTGGTCAGCACTCCTCCTGTCTACTACAGGGTAAGTCAGAGGTTTGTGTCACCCCTCCCCATGTGTACCCTAAAACGGGATTTCCCAAGGGATAGGAAAGCTGGCTGAAGCTGTGATCTTTGGCACCTGTTGCAGGGCTAGAAATCCTGATCCCCAATAGCACCCCCCATATTGAATTCCCAGCACCCCTTCACTAAAACTCTGATGCATGATGCACCCCTGAATTCCCAGTATGACCCAGGCTGAAGCCTCAGTCTTCAGCCTTCCCCTCCCCCCTGTGAAGTAGCCCCAATCCTCAGCATGTCCCTCTTCCCCTCCTCCCAAGATGAAGCCCTAAGCCCTCACACGCCCTTCCCCCAAGAGCTGAAGCTGCAAGCCCTGGCAACCCCTGCAGGGCTGAAAGCAGGAGCTGAAGTCTCAACCAACCCCACCCCCAAAACTGAAGCCAGGAGTGACGGGGCTGATTCCTGGATCCCTAGCATTCCCCATGAAGAAGACGCTCCCAAGCCTAGGGGCAGAACTGGAGGGCACTGGGAATGTTGTCCCCCCAAACTTCAGTGGACATGCAGGGCAGTTTGGAGGCAAGAAGCCACAGCCAGGCAACATGGGGCTGGTGCAATGGTACAGGCTGTGGTGGTGGTCCCTCATCTTCTATCACTGCTCTTGTACAGGGGTTTGAAGCCGCCCCTCTGCTCCCAGCTTCCTTTGCTCACACAGGTGGTAAGACCTGCAGGGTGGGGGACACAGATGCATAGCTGGCAGAGTGCTAAGGGAATGGGGGGGACTACAAATCCCTCTTGGCACACAGCCTTTAGATACCCCATCTATAAATCCGGAAGTATATCCCCCTGTCTGCACACAGCCCCTGGTTCCCCCAGCCACACACAGTTCCTAGATACCCCATCCCGGTCCCCTGAGCTACCTCTTGGCCCCACAGTCCCTAGCCGCTCCCTCTGATGGGGTAAATAAAACACTGTTGAGTTTTCTTCTCTATGCTGTGAAACTTCTGATACGCAGTGTGGATTCCTATACCAGTTGATTGAGAAGCCTTCTCTTAGGCTACCTCTATACTGGCAGCTTTTTGCGCAAAAACTCTTTTGCAGAAGAGTTCATGTTCAAAAACTCTTCCAGAAGAGAGCATCTACACTGGTATGTGCTTTTGTGCAAGAGATGTACTTTTGCGCAAGAGCATCCATGCCATTGTAGACGTTCTCTTGCACAAGAAATTTGTTTCCTGTTGACATTGGCCTCTTGCGCAAGAACAGTTGTGCAGAAAGGCTTATTCCTGAGCGGAAGCATCAGAGTTCTGGCGCAAGAAGCCCTGATTTCATACATTAGAACATCAATTTACTTGCGCAAGATCACGTGGCCAGTGTAGACAGGCAGCAAGTTTTTGCTCAAGAGTGGCCACTTTTGCGCAAGATTGTGCCAGTGTAGACACAGCCCTAGTGAAAAGCATGTTGGGCTTTGTGAAGACAATACTAATACAAATTCTGATGGTGCTAAACATGCAGGGAAAAACAACTTATGGGGAAAACCGCAAATCAGACTAGGGGGAAAGATCTTTGGATTTGGCTGTGATGTTCACTCCATTCATAAAATTGCTGCAAACAGCAGCTGACTGCCTTCCAGTTGTTTTGGTGTCCTTTGCTGTGAACATGTATAAATAAAGACAAGGCAGGGGAGGAAGAGCTTAGGGCATGGGGTGGGAGTGAGAGGAGATCAGGGCAAGGGGCTAAGGGCATATGATTCAGGCAGTGGTGGCCCATCAATACAGGCGACCTAGGCGGTCGCCTAGGGCACCAAGATAAACTCCCGTTGAGGGCTTTGGAGGCGGGGGCACCGATTGTGTGCTGATCGCGCATTTTGCCTAGGGCACCAGTTGCCAGCAGCTCGTCTAGGGCTGCTTCTGGATTCCAGGCAGAGGTTTGGGAGGTTAGGGAGTTGCCACAGATCCCACTGTGAAGAGAGTGTTGCTGCTCCAACTGTAGCTTCTCTGGGACTTCAGTGGGAGGGGGAGGCAGAGGCTCATCCCAGGAGGCTGGGGCTGCACTATCCAGCCTCTCCCCGCAGCCAGCGATTACTGGAGGGTGGCTGTCTGGCCCCTATAGATGGCAGCCTACCCAGCACCCCTACAAGGAGCCATCAGCTGGGGGGGTCTCCATCTCCCTCAGCAGGCCAGCAATCCCTTTGGGGGCAGACCTGGGACTGAGTGCCCACCCTTTGGCCTCTACTCTCCTGGGGAAGAGAGTGTGCTGTCTAGCTCTAGAGTGGGTCCCAGCCAGATGGTGAACCCTGGCCCCATCTAGCCACTGTCTTGCTGATGCTGTTGCCCCAAGTGGTCACTCTGCAGTATAGCTCTTCTCTTATCAGCTCCCTCCCTTTCTATGTCATGGAATACGATAGGCACATCCCCTTTTCCTGGCACATCAAACCCTGACCTTGCTTTAAATTAGGGTAAGAGGAAGCTGCCTACCAAATTTGGTGGTCCTAGCTCTTACCATCTAGGAGGAGTTCTTGAACAAATGGAGTCACGGACAGATGGACAGACAGATGCACATATCTAAAATATAGAGACAGATAATAATGCAGTGTGTCTTTTAATGAGACTCAATCAACTTAATGGTGTTTTGAACATTTGTGCTGCGTAGTTCTGATTGATTGCTGTTGAACTCACTTAAATCAGAGCAATTTATTAGTTGTCCCATATTTGCCACAGGGAAATATGGTCACCCTACTTAGAAATGTATTCTGCTACTAGGAGAACAAAGGCTGTAATAATTACCCAGTTTCATTTGGAATAAATTTTCCAGTAATATCCAGAAGAAAGTCATGAGTTTGTTATTATACCTGAATGATCATTCAGGCAACTCCAGTTAAACTGTTGTTAATTTATTTTCTTTCGCTCTCTTTTCATTTCAGCAAAACCATTTGAAAATGGACAATACCTGGACATCTATGGAATTACAAGAGACCAGGCTGGGGAATATGAATGCAGTGCAGAAAATGATGTCTCGGTCCCAGATGTGAAAAAAGTAAAAGTCACAGTAAACTGTAAGTCATGTTACTTTTTAATCACTAAATCCAGTAGAGAGGGAAAACAGTGGAGAAGAAAACAGTCTAATGTCGTAACATGGCATCAAGCTGCTGCTAATGATGAAATAGTAGTCCTTTTCTATTTGAGTAGCGAAACATCTTGGACATTCAAGGTCAAAATGTTCAATATCTCCTCCAACCCTTCTGCAAAATGGAGGATGGTAATGGTTGACATTTCACCTTTCTTGCTTTTGTGGATATAGGTCAGACTCTTGGGTGGGAATACTTTTTCAAACTGGAGATTGAACTATGCAATTCTCATTATTACTTATGGGACTAGAGTTGCTGTATTTGAAGGCCGTGTTCTTTTCTCAGAGTTCCTTTGCCACAGTGTTTTGTGACAAGTAACGGAAGCCAAGAGGAGTGTGTGCTCCCTTCGGCCTCCCACAGTGTAGATGCTGTAGCAGCTCGGCTTAAGGTAAGCTGTAAAATGAATCCAGCTATGCATTTTGCATAGCTGGATGGCATACCATAAACCAACTTGCTTGATCTAGAGTTTAAATCAACATTGCTCAGGGATGTGATTTAGCCACCCCCTTAAGCAACATAAATTGTGCTGGTTTAAATGCCAGTGTGGACAGCACTTTCCCTGCTGACCCAGCCACTGCTCCTTGTGGGGGCTGAAGTAATTAAAGCCACAGGAGAGCTCTCTCCCTAAGGCTTAAAGCAGTTACCCTACTCTTTTGATTTGAAATATTGCAATAATTATGTGCTAGTAAAACTACATAACTTTAGGGGGTGGAAATGAGAACAACTCCTTCAGATGAAACTACAAGGGAAATATTAGGTAGGCTAAATACAATTACTCAGATTGTAATTTGGCCAGATCACCAGGATTAACACTGCTCTTCTTCTGAAAATTGCTTTGGGACTTTAAATAATTGCAACTTGCAAGGACTTTGGTTTTGTGTCTCCTTCAAAAGTTAGTGTCTCTAACAGCACAGTGCCCTTAGCACCATGCTATGAAATTAGTTCTATAATGATTCAGGGAGAGAAGTATGGTTAGCAGAATTGCTTACACTACTAAATGTATTACTAGGGTTTTCCTTGGAGATATCCTATTTGAACACTGACCAGGCCTGACCTTGTTTACTTTATGAAATGGTATGACTGTAGGCCATTATGTACTGGGATATAGTAGATCAATGCAGTTGCCTTTTACCCATAGAGGCTTACTTCATTGTTTTATTCTTATCATTAGAGGTAGGATTCTTCCTAGCTTAATCACAGAGAGCAGTACTTGCAATGAGTTCAGAGAGGAAAGAAGGCAGAATCAGTGTATTAGCAGGGTTTTTTACATGTCCCTAAATCACCAGAGGGTTTGACACAATTCACCATAATTGGCAATCTCTCTGCTTCAGAGAGATCTGAGGTTGAAATACATAGAAACATTGCAGATCAGGTTTAAACTACATTAGAAAAACTATAATATGCAGGACTTTTTCAGGAAACTAACACTGATTCTGTCACACAATAGTTAGAGTTTCCTGTGTCCCTTGTTTCTATGAACTTTTTGCTGAATACACCCCAACATTGGGATAATAAAAATTGTTTTAGAAATCTAATATTAGTGTTATTTTTTAATGATAACCATAATAGTTTTATACAACAAGCAAGTCTACAGCATTATTATCTTCAATGTTTTGTTTTAATATAGTGTCTTGCAATACAACTGCAAATCTTTACAAAATTGGTCCTACATCATGACAATCATTTAATTGGCTTCATATGAATAGAGATTTGTAGAATGACTTTTCTGGAGTGACTTTCATGCAGCCTGTGTCTCAAAATGTTTTACAAAGTCAAATAATATAGCTAGGGCCCAAATGGCCAAATGTAACCCACACACCTACTGGGTGTTGTCTACTGTTCCATGTAGTAGCACTTAGACTACTTATGGAAAGGAAGAATGAGTTCGCTCTATTGCCTTTGCTGAGAGCCAGTTGGCTTTTAGCTCAAGCTGTGGAGGCTCATGCTCTAAGATCTAGCGGTCCCGGTTTGGTTCTTCCTGTCAACATTATACAAACATTTATGTATTTGAGTAACTTGAAATAATGGCATTCCTCTCAAAAATACAATTGTCTGTGTGCATGAGTATTTTCAGGATTAGTCTCTTTGAGTGGTTGGTTCTAAAAGAGAGGAAAATTGATGGATCTATGTAGCATTTAAATATTACAGTGATAAGTCCTCTGTAAATGTTGTAGATAGACAAAGAAAAAGGTATACATTTTTTCATATAGTATTTGGGAGACGATGGAGATCTGATGAATAAGAGATACAGAAGAGGCTGCTCCAGACAGTGATAGCTGCAGAGAAGTAGTAGTAGATAAACTAGTAGTAGAGTAATTGGGTAAAGGGAAAGCGAAGACACTTGTATAAGTTGAGCAAAGGAATCATTTGTGCATACACATACACACCCCGATACTGAGGAAGACCCAGAAAAAAGAATAACAGTCTTCATAAAGAAGGTTGGGACGAGTCACAAGAATATTTTCTCAAATCAAAGAGGAAATTTTGCAATCAGATGCTGGAATGAATGGCGAGTCACTGAAGTGATGGACAAAGGAGAAAAGTGCTGTCAGAGAATATATATGTGTGTGTGTGTGTGTGTGTACCTTTAGAATACATATAACCCTATGCCTCAAACTGGCATGGCGGGGAAAAAGAGCATCAAGTATATGTGAGATATAAGATATGGTCCAGAAAACAAAGGGATAGGAAGGAATAGCAGGCTGTGTTCCCCTATGTGCACATAGCAATTCAGGATGTTATTTCACAGGGGAAATTAGCTCCAAGGTGTGTACTCAGAGGTTCACTGCTCCACTTCCTATGTACCCAAAGGGAGTTATTCTGCTTGTTAAGAGGCATTTCCAGCCCCAAGTCCTCTTGTGTCTAAGCAGCAGTTACTAGTAGTCACAGTCACATTCACACTGGTTAACAGTACCTAGCAGCACATTGTAGATGTGCCCTCACAACCATCCCAGCCTGCAGCTTCAGGATGGCATTTTGCCAGATAAACTTTGGTGCCTCTCAACTCTCCTCTTCCTTCTACCTCCTTTTCAAGAGTTTCTCAGATAAAGGCAGAATTTTGCACTAGAAGGAAGGAGGCAGCTGAGATGTGAAAGAGGGGATTGGTGAATCTGAAAGAGTTGTTTTTAACTAGGTGTTCTACAATAAATATGTTAATCACTGTAAACTGTTCTTCTGTCACCGAGTTAAGTGATACAAATGCCTCCAGTTTGCCTTTTCCCCTTAGTGGGGGTTATAGCCTTGTTAAGTACATCTGAGACCCCTAATAGCTTCTACAGTCTAATTCTTAGTCATATATATACTTCAGTTAATAATGAATATTACTTCAGACCTTAGCAACTTTACCCCATCTCTATATTGCTAAAGTATATATACATGTAATTTTATCTAGAGCTGCAAACTAATTATGTCTAGGATTAAGTGCTGGCCATTTTTATTTCTGTGTGAACGTTTTTTGGTAGAGAAAAATGAAATAAAACATCTGGAACAATCAAGTATCTGTCTTTATTTTCCTCGGAAAGCAGCCAAATTGATTTCCTTCCTGTTTCAAGTAATTTAGAAGAAAATTAGCTTTAGTGCGGAGAAACTGCAGTATGTGCCAAACCAGTGGGAATATTTACATAACCAGGAGCAAAGATTTTAGGGCTATATCCTGACCTGTGTGCTCAGCTTTATACAAGTGGTTTCTGTAGAAATCTGTTAGTTTGATTAAGCCCAGCTGTGGAGAACTGCTAGCATCATTCCTCAACTGTTGCAACCTTCACACTGCACAGCAGTTTTATGCACAGCTCCTGTGTGCCTTTCTACAGAGGACTTTGACTTGTGTGTCTACTAGATATACCCCTGCCATGCCTCCAAACAGCCTTTTACTTCAACAAAGTGCATATCACATCATCAAAGGTACATATAGTGAAGGTAAATCGTGAACACAGAACATAGGACTTGAAAAAGAGATAGTAAATTCACTTGTAGCCCCCTCCCTCGTCTAGAGTTTTTGTTTTGAGGGCATGATGCTAGTTTGAGAAGGGATGTTTAATTTTGCTAATGAGGCTTTCTCAGTTCTTTACATGTTTTCAAGGACGTTTGTGTATGTGTTGATTTATCTTGCTGAAGATCCTGCAGTACAAAGACATGATGCTATTACAGAATTTCAGCTTCAGCAGCTGACCTGTCAATTCTTGTCCCTCTTCCTTTGAGAGTATTTCCTTATGTAAGTGTGGTCTTACTGGGCTCTTCCCTGACAGCTAATAATGAACTGGGGGGAAAGACTTGAGGAACAGACTGAATTCAGATGGGACCACCTAGTGTGCCTAAGTGTTCAGCAGACAGAATTGCATTGCCAAGAGGATCAATTTTGCCTGATTTTGTCTTACAATTCACTTTAGTGTTGAATGTGGGGAATAATTAAATGTTGTTATCCTTATTGTGTGTGTAAAGTACAACAGAAATGTGCTTAGCTTGCCCTGATTGAGGAGGTGACCTAAACTGAACCTCATTTGTCAAGCAGGGAGAGAGGAGGCCAAATCAGAGTGCAATGATAGGGCATGGCGATGTTTTGGACTCTGCCTAAAGAAACCTAGATAGTATTTGATCCTCCCCTTTCCAGTGTTCAGTGACAGCAGATTGAACTCAATAGAAACATCGGCTGTGTCTACACTGCACCCCTTTTCCGGAAAAGGGATGCAGATTAGACACTTTGGAATAGCAAAATCCGCGGGGGATTTAAATATCCCCCGCGGCATTTGCATTAACATGGCTGCCGCTTTTTTCCGGCTTGGGGATAAGCCGGAGAAAAGCGCCAGTCTAGACGTGATTCTCCGGAAAATAAGCCCTTTTCCGGAGGATCTTTTATTCCTACTTGAAAGTAGGAATAAGAGATCCTCCGGAAAAGGGCTTATTTTCCGGAGAATCACGTCTAGACTGGCGCT